GGCCTACCCTAGTACTAGATTATAATTTACTAATAACTACTTAAATCTTATACGCATGTCCGCACTTAAGAAAAACCCAACCCTTTAACTACTTAAGTCTATGTTGATATTATTAGGGTCGGTCGAATCTACTAATGAGGGCGGCGGGAAATCTAGGTTAGATCCAGGGAACGCTATATCATAGTAAAGTTCTTAAACTGCGTGTTCGTCCTTAAAAGGGCCATAATTAGTGAGATACTATACCTAGGTGGTAAGCGGCCGGTCTTGGTTAATGATAATGCCACTATTAGGCATGCTAGGCTGTGTATCGATCGTTGGCTGTTTAGATGGATCTAAGATCCGCGACCTAGAATCACCCTTACTATCCGATGCGATAGTATTGGTGCCCTTAGGAGATGTATACGATAACGTGGTAGTAATGGTCGGTATGGTTAGCGTGATTAAAGGAAAAACAGGAGGAGGGTTAAGGTCCGTAGAAGGTCCTGGAATTGGCGATTCCACACGTTCCTTAGAAATAGTACTAGAGTCTACGAGGGGGTCTAGGGGGTTTATCCGTATAGTGTTGTCGGGCATATTATCTAAAACCTTAGAGGCGTCTGTAATCGCTGATTCTAGTGCCTCCTCTAGTATCTTATTACTAAGTTTAACGCGCTTAACGGCCTTACTTAAATCGCTATGCGACGCTATACGCTTCTTCCTTATAGTTACTTCGGCTATAGAAGACTTTTCGGTGGTGTTGGCTGGCGGCTTTATGCGACGTAATAAATCCTCTTCGTTACTCTCGTCGACTTCCTTAGGCGGGTTAAGGTTGGGATTGTTATACTTTAGCTTATCCCGAACTTACTATATGGCGAGCTAATACGTAAAGCTAATGTTAGACTAATAATCATAGAAAATTAGACGACCGAGCGACTCCCTAAGTTGGTGAAGTACGGCGAGTTGTCGCTCCTAATAATTAGTAGGAGTCTCGAATCTAGGTTCTTTATATACGGGCTGGGCGAGCCGAAGACGAAGACCCTCTACGAGAATTTTAGGGCTCCACGTAAGTCTCTCGAGCCGCTTATAGGGTGGAATCAAACGGTAGTATTCCTTAGAGCTGTGGAAGTGTAGATCGATGTAGGTATTGGGTCTATAGCCGCCCGCTCTAGCGCCACCTAGTATATATATAATCTTCGCGATAAAAGTAAATCTAGTATAGAGCTTGCCTTAATTCTCGAGACGCGAAATTCTCTCTGCTATAGCTAACTAGAACTATGTGACGTAGTAGTGTCTAACCGAGCGGTAGATAATAGGTTTACCTATTACTAGTCGATTGATGAAGAAAGCTATCGCCTAAGGTCGTAGACACCTACTAGGAAGCTTTGGGTCGTTAGAGATTATAAAGTTACTATCGTTTTTTTTGCGCTTTGGCGCTTTGGCCTTTTTTATAGCTGCGGCTATAACTAGAGTAGTGCTAGTCGGCTTTGCGGTATCGGTTTGGTTTACCTTTAATCTTTTCGATGGCGTTCTAACTACTTTCTGGGCTTTGGATTTTAACGGTGTTCGCGGTAGTAGTAAGTTAGAGGTATCGGGTTCGGAATCCGGATTATTAGGAAGTTCGCTATCTATAGGCGGAGGTGTAGAACCTAAATCATTAGTATTATCTTCGGGTTCCTTTACCGAAGATGGTTCCGTAGTAGGGTATAGCGTTTCTATAGTTGGCTCTTTTACTACTATACTATTCTTAAGTGGCGGTGCGGTCTTAGACGTTTTACCGGTCTTACTTATAATAGGATCGGCGGTATTTTTAGTCTTAGAACTCTTCTTCTTCTTCTTCGCGGGGGATGGTTTATTAGTTACTAGAGGACGGGCTACTACGGCTCGACTATGTATAACGTTATCCCTAATTATATCCTTAACGAAACGTGTACGGTTAGTGTAAACTTCCTAAGATAGAGCTAACTTAATACTAGTGGCGCGAGCCGTATGTACACGAGGTGTTATCGGTGTGTATTAGATAGGTAGTTCTACGGTAGACGGTTAGTATAGAACATGTATATCTTAAGAAGGGCCTGGAATCGTCGATCGTAGACGGTTATAGGGAATATGTATATCTTAAGAGGGGTCTAGAATCGTCGATCCTAGACGGTTATAGGGAAAGACTATAGAGTGTATATAATAACGAATGCGCGGGTATTGGAATCGCTGATCCCAAGGATTACTAAAGCCGGGATTTAATATACCTAGAAACTTAATGGCGCGCGTTTCGATCGACGGGAATATAATACTAAAGGATGTTAGTAGATGATAGTAATTCGTATGATTAGAAACCCACTAGATAATAGGTGTAATATTAAGTATATCCTCCGCCAATGGCACGACGAGTAAGATATTGAATGGTATTTTATTATTATTAGAGTCCTCGAAAGCCATTCGTATACCGAGAAGGGTAGAATAGGCTCCGGCGTCTATAGCCTATCTATACTTTAATATTCCGAGAATAGGATAAAGAATCTAAGCGACGCTACTAATATCCGGGTCCTAATAATTAACCGTAGTTTCGACGATGCTTTTGTATAAACCTCTTAGGACGTTATGACGTTTTTTTATATCCGACTTCGTCTTTATGCATGTTAGTATAGCCACGTGTATAATGATTTTTATATTAAGATTATATGGCTCTGTTACTAGAATTTCCTTGGATTCTAAAACCTTATAATCTGTGAGGGCGGTCACGAGTTCCGGACCGGCTCCTTTACGGATAACTACGTTAATGCTACCGAAACGCTTGGCATCTAATTGCCTCTGCGTAGCGTTCACTAAACAGACGTCCTTCTCTAGTATCTATATAATATTACTGACCATGAACTTTACGCTATTCATGCGTGACGGTATTGGTTTTTTATAAGATTGATAGAAACGATTGTTCCCTACTAGATTGTTTAGGTCTTAAAGTGTCTATTAGGCATGGCGTATGGATCTAGAAGTTTTAGCCGGTTCCGAAGGTCTAGTATCTTCTACGGGTGGCGGAGCTAATTATACCGCCTTCCCTTTTCCTTTGCTTGGCTTGGTTGGAAGGCTCTAATCGCCTGCCATTTTGTTAAACCTATATAATCTATTTAGAGGCGTCTATGAATTGCGATTGCTAATGAGATAAACGAACGAATTATAAGACTTGTTAACGTATACGAGAGTAAGTAAGTTAATATAGGAGAGAGGAAATTATAAGGTGGTATATATTCATATACCTTCGTGCGAATACCAAGCTAGTCTCGTTTAGATAGTAACATTATAAAAGTAAATAGAGGTTAATAAACCGGACATAATATAGATAAGTAGTGAAGTGAAGTAATACTAAGTAAATAAAATGAACCCTCTCTTACGTCGCGTAAGTCGGAATAACGTAATACTAGTTCGAAGCCTATACTTACGTATACTAAGATGTTACTAGAAGTAAAAGGCTGTCGGCGCTTGACGTTTCTAGACGCCTCTAGTACGGAGTGGAACCACGTTTTAAAGGTATAGAAAACGAGTATAGGAATGCTTAACGGAGTGTGTGAGATAGTATTGGAAATTATAATAATATTTAACTAGGCGTCGATTATGAAAGTAAGGAGATGTAATAAGCCATGAGGACGACTATCCTTATATAGACTATTAAAGGAAAGATACTAGTAGCTACGAACATAATGAAATAACTAGTGGAATATAAATACACGCTATTAAAGAAAAGTACTAACCATAGACGCGACTAGAAACGCCGATTCCAATCCCTCCTAGAAGATAGTTAAGCCTTATTATTATCTCTATCTATGTTTATTAGTATCTTATCTATTATAAACTACTCTACTATATAAGTGGTCTAGTCCTTATTAACGAATCGTTCGGTAGCGTGTTCTATTAGGAAGAGGTCTTTATAGTCTTCGATTAACTATATTATACGGATCGTAGGCTCTAATATAGATCTTAATAATGTTATTTTCTCGCTGGCTTCTCGCAGCGAATGGATCCTATCTCTACTATCTACCTCGTCCTTACCATAACCATAGGTACTACGCTTGGTAGGGTCCTTATCTAGGCGGTTATTAGGGCGGCGCATAGTGTTACTAATAATATTAAATATACTAGTAGCCCTCTCCGTTAGATCGGTAATACCTAGCCCCTCGCTTTAGTTAATAACGATACTACGGTTAAATATTAGGAGGCGTTTTATGACTTTAAGCACGGGAACAGCCGTGGATTCCGGTTTACATAGCTTCTTAAACTCCGGATCGTCTTTATAGATAATTAGACCGAAATTATAGTATACATCTCTAATTATAGGATACCAGCCCTTAAGGATAGACGGAACGATAATATCGAGAGTAGTATCGAGGGTACCATCCACGAGACTAGATAGAGTAGTAAACATCTTAGGCAATGCTCGGCGAGTCATGGCCATGGACATTTCAGATGCCCATGTGTTTAGCATATAGTACTTAGAAAGCAGGGTTGGTAAGGGCTGTTTAAGTCGAAATATGCGACCCAAGAGCTACCGTAGGAGAGCGAGATTGGCTGGATAAGAAAAGAAATAAACATTTCTATTCGCCTTCTATAAATTAAAACCAACCCCTATAATTCCGCATATATTAATAAACCAATCGATCCGGGAGGGAACTCTATTAATGTCGTCCTAATAGATATTATCGCCGTCTAAGAACGCACTAGGATCGGCGATTCTAGGCGCCTCTAGTAGGTCATCCTTATTACCGGTAATGTCGTTAGGCGTGGTCTTATTAAAGGTAGAGTCCATCTTCTAGTTAAATAGTCTATACTTTTATTATCTAGTTAGCGCGTCGTCTTTAGCAAAGACGCGTCCGACGTACTTAAAGCCTATTAGCCGTAATATATAATATACTAACTCACGCTCAATAGGATATTACACCTATACGATGCCCTTCTCCTAGTACTTAAAGTACTACGTTATAGCTTATATAGCGAGTGCTGCGAGCCGAGGGGACTAGTTAAATAGAATACCTAGTAGTACTACTAGCACGTTCTCTACTTCGTTAACTAGCTTAGTAAGTCCACCCTTAGGATGGCTTCGATTACGAGCTTAGGCGATGTTTAGTAGGAAAGCGTATATCTAACGTGGGCTCTCGTTCTTAGAGCCAGGACGAGGGAATTTTAGCTTCTATTCATTATCTTTCCTTAACGCTACTATGTCCCTACGCATGAAAAAGTGTGAATACCTAATATAGATAATAGTAGACATTAGCACTAAGTTCCGCTGTATACGGGAGTTCAGGCTTAATTCCGAGGGTCGGTGAGGATTCGGCTAAACAAGCTTCTTTCGGGTCTCCTCGCTAATCTTATTATACTTAGCCTACACCTCTAGTGGATACGCTACTTTAATCTATACCCTTTCGGCCCGCGGAATATAGTTACGGATCAAAGTAGCATTATTATCGCCATACCATGAGTCGTTCGTGCGGCGAAGTACAAATACTCCGTATATTATACTTAAGCACTAGCCTTGCACCAGCTCTAATGGCGGCTTAGGATTATTACGGCCGGAACCTAGGCACTAGTACTTAAAGGCCGGAGAAGTTAGACATATACCTAGGACGCGATCTAGTTTTTCCTGCGAAACGTCCGGATATAGTCTTACTATTATCGATAGAAACTTATATAGGTTAGACTTCGCCTTAAATGGCGGCTATATACCGGAAATACCGTTAAAATAATCGTCGAGGGATGCGCTCTATTATATAACTTTAAGAAGACCCTATATATTACTAGCGAAGTTATAGACGGGAGTACTAGTCACGAGGATGTAGTGTTTAATATTAAGCTCGTAGATAGACCGGTTAGTCGTAGAGTTAACATTCCGGAAGCCGTATACTTCATTAGCTACCGTATAGTTAAAGTACTAAGCGAGGTTCCAAGGGGCATTATATAGAAAATGCTACTTCTCTATATATTTCATTTCTACCAATGCGACGGCGTCCTAATTTCTAGATTTAATGTTCTAGAACTCCGCGTACCCTCGTATTTCCTCCCTCTACCTAGTAAGGCTATAACGGGCGTTAAACGTTGCGTAGAACATTAAGATAATAGTACGGGCGTTAATCTCCTCCGGTCTAAAGTACTAACTCTTCTATATTAAGATACCTACTAAACGCGTAGTACTAGTAGCTGATTTTCCGACCCTACTATCGCCGTAACTAGTAATAATACGGAAGAGCAAGGAAAAGTCTATAATCTACTCGGCGGTTTAGGTAAGAAGATTTACGGGTACTAATAGTAGGGCGGGCTTCGGAGGAGATACTAGGATACCCTTCTCGCAATTAGCGATGCGCTTATTAATTAACTACATTTTAGTTAGATATATATAGGCGCGTCTAGAATCGGCGATTCTAGAGGCCACTAGGGGAAGGAACTTATATGTAGCTAGTGCGCTAAAAGTATAAATGTTTTACCTAGTCCGACACTATCTACTAATACTACACCCCGTAAAACCGAACTATCCATACTCTTTCGGAGCTACTAAGCTCCTATAAGTTACTACTAATATAGAGTAACGCTAGGATTTATATTAAGAATCTAAGGTTTTTAGGTACTAGTGACTCGGAGACCCACCACGGCTATAATATAGTCTTATGGTTAGGCGGCGCCGTTATTACTCTAGTCATTTAACCAATCCTATAGTTTACTTCTCTTCTCGCTACCCGACTTTAACTGATCCATAATTAGCACTATATTACTAAGATCCGTGTTAATGCGTGCGGTAATTACCGCCTTATTATTATTTACTTGAATAATCTCGTTAGTTTTAATCTCGGAGATCTTTTAAGTACCGCTTAAGCCCTTTATAAGATTCTTAATAGTAAGGTAAGAGTAGTATAGACATGTTCCTAGTTTAAGATAATCCGGATTAACGACATTACGATCCTTATAAGTTACCGTAAGCGTAGTCTAGAGCTCTTCTTTAGAGGGGAGACTCTCGAGATATAACCTAGCGAACGTACGCCGATCGCCTATATTAATACCCTCGTCTTCGACTATAAATTCTAGATTATTATAGGTATCTATTAATGCTCCTAATGGATTTAGACCGCGTTTCTATATATTAGTCCACGCCTTAGTATGGTGCTCGGGCAATTTTTTCCTTAGTACCTTTATAGGCTTTAAGGAACGTTTTAGTTTTACTAGAGCAGCCATAGGTCCTTCTTTTATAGTAGTATCTAGTATAGCTAGTACATCTAGCATGGGTACGTTAAGGAGCGAGTTCGGATCTATCGCTTAGATGTCTTCCATCGGGTCCTAATCTATAGTATCGCTAGTATTCTTACCAAGTTCCCTATTCCGGTTAGTGGTAGAGTTACTATCGGCGGCTTAGTATTAATCTAAACGCCTTCTAGCTTTTTTCTTAGAAGGGCCTATAATCGTCGATCCTAGACGGGTCTATAGAGTAATTAGTAGATGAGTAGGGGGAACCTAGTTAGTAGGAACTTTCCGAGGCATTATAGACATCTACCTCGCGTTAGTATAGATAATTTTTATACGAAAGTTATCCTCGTATTCTTACCCTTAGTTACGGGCATGGCGTCGGTATTTAAGTACATCGTTAAATAGAAGATATTTATCGTTCTCTAACATACGCATTCGCGAAAGAGGATTCGTACAATTAGAAGATAGCTTAAGATCTATCCGGAGAATAAGAGACGCGTGCTACTAGTAATCTTCCTATTCACTACGACTAGCGGCTGTTACTATAAGGTAATAGGCACGGTCTTCTTTAATAAGTTCCATAGCTAAAGTAAACTAGCTAAACGGATGTAAACCTTCTAGAATCCGCGGGTTAAAGAACTCTATATAGTATTCATTAAGTAAGGCGTTAACTTCAGGATCCTAGAATAAAATGGCTGCTTTAACCACGCTAATTCCGAGGTTAGAGGCAATCTTACTAAGGCGACGGTCCTTTTCCAGCCTAGGTTCCTTTTTACGCTCCTGTCTAGCCTCTTTTCCCGGCTTTAGCTCGATAGATGCGCCTTTTCCTACTTCGCCTACTTCCTCCTCTATAGTAGCGACCTTAAGAAATCGCTCCATGGCTTTAGAATTATAGCCTATTAAGCTACTACCTACGACAAGAGCGGATAAGATGGTATATTTCTTCTATAACGCTACTCTGGTTCCGCGAATCTCTTTAGTAGCTGTATCTAAAAACGGATCGAGAAAATCATTATCATCTTCTTCCTCTTATGCTTGAATGTTAACTAGAAGAAAAGGAGCCATGATCTCTAGAAGGGTCTATAAACGGCGATCGGTGGGTTGAATATATATATGTCGAAAAAATGAGATTACGTAAGAAAATAGTAAAATGATATAGGAGAGATAGAGAGAGTTAACGGAAATAATATATATAAATATATATTTTGGGTCTTGTCACGTGTTATTATACAACCTCCTTACGTTACGTCATAACGTGTCACAAGTAAAGTAAATTAACCTATCGGTTTTGTTAGAAATTCCAGCCTCTACTCTAGGAATCGCTGTTTATAGGGTGCCCTATAGTTAAGGTTATAGATCCTAGTTCTTATACTCTTATACTAAATGCGCAACTACGTTACTAGGAGAATCCTTTTTACGTCTCCCTCTTTATATTCTATTTAACATAGGGCGACGTGGATTAAGAGCACTAACTTACGGACGTTACCTATAGGTATTAAGATGCTCTATAGACTTTATATACTTCTAGACTTAAACTATAATAACTATAAATCCCACCGACCCTATCGACTAACATCTACAACTAGTGGAGTGCCCTAATTAAATTCTAGAATGGCATTCATAATTTCATACGCCCCCTCTCGCCGCTTACGCTATAGCTAACGGGCTAATTTACTAGAGTCCCATGCACCTTCTCTTATTACCATTGGTAGTTAGCCCGTTTTCGAAATTCCAAACCCTTCCAACCGGGTAGCCTATCGTCTAGATAGGTGGACTACTATTACGCTAAGAGCTCGATATAAACCGAATTTCTATATATACTTAATATTTCCCGGGAGCCGACGGAACCCTAGTTATCCCTCCGGTCTAGGCTCCTACCACGGACATAGAATTTATAGCTAGTAATAGGTGAAGTAGTACACGTATTTAGGCATGACATTACTCTTTCGCATTTAGTCGGCTAGTATACGCTTAACCATGTCTATAAGTCGTCTATTATCTAAGTAGTGCGTAGTATAGACTCTACTATTAGTACTATATACATCGTAATAACTAGCCCACCATTATCTCTACTCGGATAATAACTAGACGAGACTTATATATTATCTATTTTATAGACGACGTTCTTATGCTACTAGTTTCATAGACTATTGTTATATAAACATTCGTTAATTATAAGTGTCCTCGCCTACGTAATCTTCGTCTAGACGCGCACTAGAAAGTTCTAATACCCGCCCTTTCGCTGGTCTTCCTACCTCGCCTATACTATTACTATATACACGTGCTCGTTTTATCTTATTCCACGTATAAGGCGGCTAGCGCGACGGTTAATCGGTCTAGAGTAGGTCGGGTTAACTGTTTAAGGAACCTACGGGCGAGCTACTAGGAAGGTCTAGAATCGCTAATTCTAGATCCTCCTAGAGGGTCTCTAAATATAGTAGAAATGTCGATAGGGTAGGATCGCATATATCGCACTTCTCTTTAACCCCGTCACAGCTCTTTCTACTAAACGACCCGTCGAGATACTCGTCTAGGAACACCCTACGACACCCTATCTAGTTTATATAAGTAAGTATTATCGCGTCCTTAGTAGTGGCTTCTCCTATCTTTACGAAGATGGCGAGGCTTCTCGTTAGGTAGTCGCGACCGGCCCGGCCGCTTTCTTATATATAGTCTAGGAATAAAGAAGGAGCGCCTAAGTGTATCACGACGCGAATGGCAGCTAGGTTAACACCTAGGCCGAGAGCGTTTATAGTAACTATAATACCTTCTTCTTCGGCGATGAATCCGTTAAGGACCTACTCCTTAGCTATACTCTCTCGATAGTATATATCGTAACTAAGCTCCCCTACGAGGCTAATAGCTTATATAACCATAGGCGTAAAGACGAGACATCTACCGGTAATGCCCTATCTAACACGTCGCACGTATTCCGCTTAACTACGGGTACCTCGAGCCTTCTTAGATAGGCTCCCAAGCGCATACGTAATATTAGGCCGAGTTATGGCTTTGCGGTAGATAAACATATCTCTAGCGTTCACACGTATAGCTTTCCATAGCCCTACTTCATTATTAGGTGGCAGGGTTATACTTAGGAGTATAATCTACACCTCTAGGTCGACCATTATTTGGATGTCGCGAAAGGCCGGCCGGAACTAGTCGTTAATAATAATATAGTGGTACTTATCGACAATCACACGGTCGAGTAGTCCTAGGCTGTTTATATAGTTCATGAACTATATAAACAGTTCGCCTTTTATAGACTCGGGCGTAATAATAATAATAGACGTCCCGTGAGGGGGGTGCGTAGGGTCGAATACTTCTATAGTAATACTACCATTATGATAACGGCGGATAAGGTTATCTCGAAGGGCCTTTAGCGGGATAATAACTAGTATTACTCCGTCTAGTACCATTAACGTAGCTAATATGAAAGGTAGACTTTTACCTAAGGTAGTTAGCTATATAACTAGTATCGGACTACGGCCTTCGACTAGCCCGGTAAATACCTTTTCTTATTAGGGTCGTATTCTAGCGTTTTCGTTACGGAGTACGACCTTAATAGCCTTATACGGGTCCTTCTCCCGGAGTATAGCCTAATAATAAGCCCGTGCTTATAAAATTCGCGTCTAGCTAGGCGTAACCTTATCGAACATAGGCACCCCGATCTCGTGCTACCATGCGCGACTAACCTAGAAGTACCTCTCTATTACTATCTTTACCGCACTAAACGGGCTACTTATATTATAACTATACGCGATCTAGACAATCTTTATACTATAACCAGCTTACTTATTAAGGATAGCGGTTAGACTATTATCTCGGGTACCCAGATTCTAGTCCTCGTCCTATAGACTATCCTTATCGGCCTCGTCTACATGGTTAATCTCGTACTTCTAAAGCTTACGCTTTATAATTACAATCGCGACTTAACGATAGTCTGCGATACCTATATTAACTACTCCTATACCAAGATGTATCTATTCCCTTATCGCATGGCTTATACGCTTGCTAGTCTAGTACGGCGATAGCCATATATGTGTAGGGACGACTATCTATGTTAGATCTATGAATCTCTCGAGTTGTTCCTTCCACAGGATGACCAACCAAAGATACCATATTAGAATATTATATACGACCGTCGGTAGATATCGAAGAATTAGGCGGATATCTCCTTTACGTGTATACCCTTTATAGTACTTTATTATAATGTAAAGCTTATTACTATAAAGAATAATATTACGTATATCACCCTATCGCGTATTACGGTACCGTATACTTAGGATTTCTAGTCCACGTATAGGCTATCTAGCTATTATATAGATAAGGATAAGTAGCTAACTAAGAAAGACTCGAATCTATTTAAGCTAGTCTTATACTTTTTACGTATCTAACTCTCCTCTAGTAAAGAACGCTAACTATATATTCTAGTCCTTTTTAACTCGCCTTCTAAACCATGAGGACTACTTCTAGAGGCACGCTAACTAAAGGAAGCTATACCCGATTATGTTATCAGCCGTATTATCCGTAAGTGACTACTATAGGATTACTAGTACTCTCTCTATAGAAGATAGTAGAAGAATATTAGTGTATAATGTTCGCGCTATTCGATTTATTAAGCTAGAGACCATCCCTCTAAATACATTCATTAGAATTATATATGCATTATACGTAAGTATATCATTAACCTACTATATCTTTGCGTCTATGGCTGTGTTACCCACGATTTTAAGACCGTAAGCTCTAAGTTATATCTACCATCCAACTATACCGCGACTACCGCGGAGGAGATACTAGTTAATAAATGGTGAGAGATATCCGAGGACATCTATAGTACTACCCGCTTACTTATAGAAGACTTTCTAGATGGCCCACTCAAGGATAATAAGGCGGGAGAACTTAATAAGTACTAATAGAGTAGACGTATAGTTCTATGGTGAAAGGAAGCCCCCGTTTCGATCTACATATAGTAGGCCGGATAATAGGACTAGTGCGGCCTCGAATGAGTATATATATAGCGTCTATCGTAGTAATACAATAATAAGCTATATATAAAGGTAGGCGATGCGAGAAAGAGGGCGGGTTTAGATACTAAACACCTCGTATAGTTTTGCCCGACGTGTTTCCAGATCCCACTCGCTAAGATTACCTTCTACTCTACGATAGTCGTTGGTTACGCTCGTCTCGGGTTTAGAGTCGGAGCTACTATTACTCTCGCCGGATGGCTGTTCCGTAGTAATGTAGTCTAGAAGCCGAGTAATACACGCCTTAGTCTTAGCGTTAAAGACTAAAGCCGGGAGGTAGTAGAGATTCTAGTACGCTTGGATGGCCCCGATAATAAGACGCTAAAGATGCTTCGAGTAATCGCGGAATATTTTCTAGTTCTAATAACGTGCGAGAGGTCGCTATAGCCCGGGCTCTATTATAGAACGCGCTACTTCTAGACATAGTAGTCTATTATAAGCGCCTACTGTTAGGACTTAGCCTTAGGTAGAACCCGACCTGCACGTACCTTAGCTAACAGGGTTAGGAGATGACGTGAAGGGCGGTAAACAGTCACGTGCTAGATAGATCGGCGTCCCTTTGTGTATATACTCTCGGATTCCTACCGAAAGGGTTCGGTAGTAATTCGTTCTATGATAGAATACACCCTATTATTCTATCTGGCTACACTACTATCTAATAACCCTATTCTTACATTCGAATTACTCCCTATATAGTACTATAGTTAAGATGGTCTAACTAGAACTAAGAAGGTCGACACGATCCACTATAGGGACAAGTAACACTACATTAAATAATAGGGATTCTCTATAATCGGTATTAAATCCGGCCGTTCTTAATAGAGAAGTGGAGATGTCCGACCGAATCACGGAACTTTCTAATAAGGAAATAGTAGATACACTAAGCGACTTCCTACGATAGGAAGCTAGACAACGAGTCGTGGTAGAGCTACACAAGGAATCGCAACCATTAATCGCCGAACTACAGGAGCATATCGCTAATCAAGCCCGAGAGATATAGATCCTTAAAGAATAGACCGAACGTGCGAAACTCCTCGTAAAACGATAAGAACTTAACGAGTCTCTTAAAAGACTACGCGGAACGATAGTAGATGGACGACTTCCTATACTAATTTAGGCGGAATTAGTTCACCCACCATTAGAGTTGCGATAATCTACCGTATACCCGGCCGCTTCGTTGCCGATTTACCCTACTCCTTCCTTAGGTGTGCTAAAACCTAAAGATCCGACTATATTTATAGGGAAGAACCAAAAGAAGTAGAAAGATTGGAAGAGAGACTGCGAGAAGTACTTCCTTAATAACCCTATGCTCTTTTCTACCGAAGCATAACGCATTTCATTCGGAGAACGTTACTTAGGTTTACAATCCCGCGATCAATAGAATAGATAGAAGGAAGTCAAGCCACTATCGGCGACAACCTAGGAACATTTAGCTATATTTATACTAAATACCCTCGGAACTAACGGAGAACGCGAAAGAAAGGCACTATCTAAGTTAAGAAGCGTGGTATAACGACCGAACTAGACACCTACTTAACTACTATAATACCTATAAAACCTCTAGGATAATATCCCTACACTATAGGAAAATATTTGTATATTCTAGTTTCGCGAAGCACTACTCCCGTTAATCCACGAAAGATTAGGAATAGTATTATTAAGTTTTAACTATCTATACGAATTAGAGGAGAAAGCTAACGAACACTACCGCATCCTTAAGGAACGCGGCTCTCTAGGTAAAACTAACGAACCCCACACGGGTTAGAAACGAGGTCGATCGAATACGTTCGATCAAGAGTAACCTTACCGCGATTAACACTAGAAGAGCGTAAATCGGGGTAGAAACGCGTTAAGAGGACACCGAAACAATTAAGGCGGTGGTTCCTAACGCGGAAAAGGATAAGGCATAGGCTTAAATATAACGCCTATCGCAAAATAGTAGGATCATAGCGCACTTTATTACTATAAGTATAGAGAAAAGGGATATATTTCGCCTAACTATAAGAATCCGAAAAAAGAATAGGCTAGTACGCGAGACCTAACCGCGTTCTTAGCTAAATTATATATACTTAGGAGAAGCCGTAGCGCCTTCCGGCGAGTAAAGACCTAATATTACTAAAAGTATCGTTACCCATAGTAAATAGTAATAAAACTATATAGGCCCTCGTGGACACTAGTGTAGAAGATAACTATATTTCGTCGATTCTTACCAAGGAGTGTAGATTATCGTACGATCTCGGTAAAGTTAGCCGAACTATCGTAGTTAATGGACATAAAGTTAGAACTTTAGGTAAAACTATAACGAATTACGAAGTTCATGACTTAAAGATAATAAAATAGTAGATATCTAATAAATTCATCGTGGCTAATATTAGCTAATAGAATATGATTCTAGGGATGCCTTAGCTTAAACGTCTAAATCCAATCCTTAATTTTTAGAAGGAGACATTAACGTTCCGTCGACATCGCGGTAAATTATACTAGCAAGTCGCAACCATTAGTAAGGAGGCATGGAACCTCGCCGTGCGGACCCGATTATCGCTAATCTACCTTATATCCCTATTAATCGTCGACGAAGACGAAGAGGATAGTAATAATCGGGGTAAAGACACGCTACCCGACGTATATTCGCAGTACACGGATGTGTTTTCGGTAGGAGACGCGTTACTTCTCCCCGACCATAGACCGTATAAGCTAAAGATCAAGCTCGAAGAGGGAGTAGACGTCCCTTATAGTCTACTTTACCTACTTTCGAGACTAGAACTCGAAGTTCTTTATAAATATATCGAAGAATATCTCGGAAGAGGCTAGATACATTATAGTACGTCATTAGCCGGCGCACCTATTCTCTTCGTGAAGAAGAAAGACGGAAGTTTATATCTATGCGTCGACTATCGAGTACTAAATACGGTAACTAAGAAGAATCGTTATCTATTACCGTTAGTTAGTAAATCTTTAGACTAATTAACGAAGGCAAAGTACTTTACGAAGCTAGATTTGCGAGATATATATTACCGGCTTCGAATCCGTCGCGGAGATAAGTGGAAAACCGCATTTCGGACTAGATATGGTTATTTTAAGTATACTATTATGCCGTTTAGGCTAATAAATGCGCCAGGAGCGTTCTAAGGATACATTAATACTATACTTATAGGATTACTTAATGTGATCTACGTAGTTTACCTCGATAACATACTAATTTACTCCGATAGCATGTAGGATCACGAAGAACACGTGAAATCGGTACTAAATCGTTTAAGATAGCATAAACTCTACGTAAAGTTATCTAAATATAAGTTTCACTAATAAGAAGTTGGGTTTCTCGGCTTTATTATAACACACAGCGGCCTTAAAATGGAGCCAGAGCGTGTCAAGACCATTATAGAATGGCTAGAACCTACTACTATACGTTAAATCAGGACGTT